TGTAGATAGTTTTTATCTTCGATTCACAACACTGTGTTTCGGCAGAGCGCAATGCGTAGCACGATGTTTACTAATCAAAGTACGAACTCTCTATGTCGGTTCAACTACTGGATCCCCTATCTTATTTATGCGGCCCGGCCGTGTGAGCTCATGCGTGAGGAGTGGGCGTGGCTTTAATTGTTTTGGCGCACACGCTGTTTGCCTCAAAACGCGTTTCCAATCTGGTTTAAGGGCCGTTACCTCCTTTTCCTATTAAAATTGTTGTCAAGTTTAAAGATCTCAATGACAGAATTGGTTAGTCTCGGGTAATACCGTTGAGATTGGAGCAAAATGTCCACTTCATCGAAACGTATTTGGTAGCCGTCTAGCAGAGCGTGCTCCGCTACTGCTAATTTTTCTGTTTGTCCTAATCTGCAACTTCTTTGATGCTTAGTGATCCTAGTGTTCACACTACGTTTTGTGGTGCCGATATATGTTCTGCCACAATTGCATGGAACTTTGTAGGCTCCTGGTGCTGATAAAAGATCCCGTTTGTCCTTGGCCTATCTCAAAGTCTGTTGGATTGTTCGAGTTAATTTAAAAACTGTTTTTATTTTGTGTTTCTCCAGTATCCTGCCGATCCTGTTCGTGGCTCCATGTATGTATGGGACGCAAGCCCAACCCTTGCGCTCATCATGCGTATCTGTTTTCTCCGGACGACCTCCACTGTTTCTTAGTGGAATTGCTCTATTAAACTCGTTCTTGCTGTATACTACTTTTAGTTGTGTCTGATTTCAAAAAATTAGAAAGCGTTCATCTAAAAAATTCTGTCGTTCTCTGTAAAATGAGCTGTTCTCCAGAAAATTTACTTTTAAAATTGACTTGCATGGCGTGAGTAATAACCAAGGACATTAGTAAATAGACCAAGTAAGTCATTCATAAATCCCGATTTGTTTGGGACCAACATTAAATTCTACCGATCGGCGATTTACCAATGAAAAAAAAAAACAGGTGGTAGGGATAAAGTACGTGAACTGTGACTACTGTCCAATCTCATCGGAAAACGTGTTAATGTGAAGTAAGAATGATAGTCAAATTATTTCCAACGTTTTAACAGAACGTGGCATGGAAACAATTGCACTTAGAATTAACTATTATTTATTTAATATTTAATAGGGCAATAAGTATTATTGGATTTTGTAGCATAATTTTTAAATGTTCATAGCAAATTTTTAAAGCGTTCTCTATTCTCCTCAATGGACAAATTAAGCGTTGTAAAAAAAATTGCGAAGAATCCTAAAAAATATTTCATTGTTTTGTTTAATTTCTTCACACTTGTCAATAATTATCTGCCACAATTCTCTGAAAAAATCCATGGGATTTAGTCAGGAGATCTGGGAGCTCACGCTACAAAGCCGAATTCAGAATATGTTTTATTCAAGAATCTTCTAACAGCTACCCCATAATGTGGAGGAGCTCCATCTTGTAATAACCACATTGAATTTCTAACTTGAAGCGGCACATCTTCCAAAAGAATAGGCAATTGATTTCTTAAGAAATATAAGTATGTCTATGTATTCGCCAGTTTACAAGCATGCTGAGTCTGGCTCGGTGCAAGAGATATCAGCTACACGTTAGGAATAAAGCATTTCTTTTTAAAAAAATTCTCATTTACATCCCTCACTTGAACGTTTGTTTGCAAGGTGTACAATATTAAATTGCAAAAATCTAAATACTGAAATGCACGACGTGAATATCAGTTTGAACTGACTCACTAACACAGCTTCCGTAAATCTGCTTTGCTCAAATTTCTTCAATGAATTCTGAAACACTATCAAATTCTTGTGCACTATGCAGAAACAACTTCAGCGCGGACGTAAAAACAGCAGCTAAAACATATTATGTCTTTTAATGTTATAACAACCAATCTCTGGCTTTATTTTAGCTCTTTTTAAAAACTTTTAAATAGTGAGTAGGCAGGCCGATTCACCTGGTTGGAGACTAGAAATGTATTCTAAATTTTCAACAGATCTGGATTAGTTGTGTCTGCCAAGGCAGCTGGTTTTTTTTCCAATCAAACATATACAGTAAAAAATCACTTTTTTCAGAAATATTTACCAGTTATGAATGATACCAGAATGAAACCAGTTGGCACACCGACGGTTCAAGGGCGCTTAGTACAGGATTGTCCGGGGTGGGAGTGTACCGGCAAGACACCAATCGGGGAGCATCCATTTCGTTGGGAGATGGACGCCGTCTTTCAGGCGCAATTATATGCAATCCTCGAGGTTGCAACAGACAAGGAGGTCATAGAAGGACTAGAAGATCAGATTGAGATCTACTCTGACAGCCAGGCGGCCCTAAATGCACTTATCAGTAAAGACCGGATTTTAAGCATTTTGCTTATTGCTGAATTTTATAAGCAACCATTAGATTATTTAATTTGTAAACGAATTATACCAAACTAAGTATATTGCGATAGCTTTTATTATGCTTTTTTTGCTTTTTTAAAGTTTTCATGCTTTTTTGTCCGGTCGTGCTTATTTTGACTTTTTTCCGCATATTTAAATAATTTTAAAAATAGTACAAAATATTATACGGGAATAAATGTCCATATAAAGTAAATTTGGCAACTTTGCAAGGCGTCGCGTGATTCCCCGAAAAATCCGTTCGCACGTAGGTAATTCCCCAAAGTTTAGCCTTGGGCTATGGCAAGACTTTTGTTATTTATTTAGTTAGTTACGAGGTGGTCTGGTTTCCAGTTGGTTTTATCGTCTGTACTTGGATTTAATTAGCTGTACGTGTAACTATTTAAACAATGCCAAAACAAAAGCCAACCATTGAAGAGTGGATTAAGGGTCACAA